TCGATAGTTCGATAGTTTTGTACAAGAAAAGAAGTACAAAATTTGATTGCTTGATTGATCGCCCCGATTTCTTTTCGAAAATAACATATTATAGTCCGTCGTAAAGTACACTTTCTAACAAGCAATTTGAAGAAAAAATTAAATATACGATTTTTTTTACCCAGTTGACCGACATGCCGGTCGCATTTAAGGAGGTATATCGGGATCCGAGGGAAGTGAGGAGCGCAGGGGGAGTCCTATGCTTTTCTTATGAGACTAAAGCCCGCTGCCAATTTGAAAAAATTAAATTCTATTGAAATTATTTGCGATAAACATTATCTTTATAGCAAAGAAATCTACTCATATGCACATAGCATACATATTGACTAATTAACAACATAAAAATATCATATTTAAGTAGTTTTAAATTATATTTAATTAACGCATAAAGACTATGTAGATGTGGTAACAGCGCTAATAATTGACTAGCAGTTGTACACACTGCGAACCTACAGACCTCGGACATCGGAGATATTGCGCGTCAAATTCTGGTAAAGTTGCGTACGCGTTCAAAAATGAATTGTGTGTAAACTATGTACAATATAATTATTATATATAGCAAATATATCGTATTATCCTCGCGAAGATTTGTATCCTTCATTTAAAATTCGTAAATCATGTGAACTGGTAAAATAACGAGAATTATGTTAATTTATTCTAAAGAAATAAAATGTACACTCGCGCCCATCTCTCGTTCAAGTCAAAGAAAATGTTGGATGCAATTTTGAAGGTTCTGTGATAGAAATTACATTATTACTCATTGTTCGTGTTTTCAGCTCTATTTTAGTAATGTTACAAAAGTTTTGCAGCTATAACTAATTTTTTAGATAAAAAGTTTGCTGAGAAATAAATGCTTTTATATCAAGTATTACTAATTATATTAATCAAGTAAAGAAAACTTTATGTAACCTTAAATATTGCTGGGTAATGATTACGATGTTTTTATAAACCATTAAATATATTAAAAGGATTTATCAACTGTATTTTTTATTCCAATAAATATATCACAGCTTCCTAGTCTTTTTTAATTAATCTAGATTTTTAAAAACATTACAAAAATCATCTGTTGTGGATAATTTATTGTTGATAACAATGTACATGGGATTTAGGAAAAATGTATATGTTTGAAATCAATTTCGTTTTTATCAAGTCTTTCAAATGTATTCCCTCCTTGCTGTCAGC